CTTTAGGAATTGGAGATTTCCATTGAGATTTTGTGGATTTTGAAGGTCTTTGGATGCAGATGTCCATTGACATTTGTGTTGTTGGTGTTTGTTTTGCTGCTGCTTGCTGGTGTTTTGCTGGTGTTTGTTTTCACCCCCTGTCTCCTGAAAGGATGTCCCACTTCTCTGGAAGATCTGGACCTGGAACAAGGCTCTTTTCATGTGCTTCTTTGCTCCAATAGTACTTCAAAGCTTTGCCTGGGTGGCACTGTAAACACCCACTGTTCCACCTGCACTTGGAACAAAGGTTTCCCTTTGAAATGGTTCCTTCAATCTTGTACCTTGAATCCGCACTCAAATGCTGCAGCTTGAAGTACTTGCTATTGGCTTCAAGCATCTCTTGAGCTTTAATGGCTGCAGCACTGGTATGACTCTTCAATTTGGAGAGTTGCTCCAATGCCTTGGTCTTGGCTTTCTCTTGCTGGTCTGCAATCTTTTTGGACTTCTCTTCAACTGTTTCCTTGATTTCTTGAAGTTTTTTCTGCTCTGCTGAAAGCTGATGCCACCAAGCTGAAAATTTGGCCTTCAATGAGCCAATCTCTGGGTGCCCTCTGGAAGCCAAGCCTTCAAACAAGCTGCAAACCTCTGACAGCATGTAAGCAAGAGTCCAAAGCCCACATGTGCTTCCAACTTGCTGGAAGGAGTTGCAAACTTTCAAAGAAACCTCTTCCTTCTGCAGGAGGCTGGCTATAATGGAAGCCTTCTTCCTGCAATCTTCTGGAAGGGCTGCAAGGGTATCCCTGTACCTGAAAGTCCACTTCTGATTCTGTTCAAGCCTCTCAGCTGTAAGTAGAGTCCAATGGAACACTGTCTCATTGCTCCAAATTGGACAAAGAAGCAAACGCGAATCTGATTCCCCAAAGCTTTCAATCCTTTTCTTCAAGAAATCTCTTTGTGGAACATCCTCCTCTCTCAAATACATGGTGGTCAGAAAGGGATCTATGAAGGCCACCTCTTTCATGTAGTCCTGGAACTGCCAACTCAAAAGCTCAAAGCCAAGTAGCATATGCTGAGACTCAAAGTTTTCATCTTTGTCTGGAAGGTCTATCAAATCATCTCCATTGTCTGCAAAAGGTTCTGGCTTCAAGCCCATCATGAAAAGGGATTCACCTTTCTTCTTTCTAGAAAGCTTTGTGAAAGGTATCCACTCCTTGACTGGAAGCCAGTCTGGATCCTTTTTGATAATGCTTGAAACTTTGCAACTCAACTTTTGGTGCTTGTCTGCAATGACTTCGCACTGCAAATCCCCATCCATCCCCAAGGAAGCCTCACTAACCATCCCTTCTTTCCCATACTTCCCTTTCCCTTCAATTTCTTCAACAATTCTACAAAGAACCATCTCCCCTTCAGCTTCAACCATTGCTGTCTTCTTTTCCTTGTCCTTTGCATCCTTCAATGCTGCTGGAAGGAGTTTGTCTGCCTCTTTCAACACATCAGCTTTCTTGAGGCTTTTCTTCAAGTGTTTCTTCGCGACTTTCTTCAAGAAGCATGGTTTGGTTTTGGCAGATGGCTTGAAGATTGCTGAAACTTTCTTCTTACTTGCAGTGCTCTTGGCAACCACCTGTTCAATTGCCTCCTTTTTGCTCATTCCTTTAAGCTTCTCCCTGACCTTCTTCAACAAACCAGATCTCAAACTAGACCTTGCTTGAAGTCTTGAAGCTTTTTCTTTGGACTTCTCAAGTACATCTTGAAACTTTGCATTCTTTTGAGCTAGAAAGGCTGCCTTCCTGACCTTTGGATGAAGTGTCAAAAACAAGGAATTCTTCAAACCAAGCCCCAAAGACTCTTCAATCGCACCATCCATGTCCACAGGATTGTCTGCCTCATCTTCAAGGGCAGGGTTTGTGTAAGCAGCCCAATCTAAAACCTGCTGAATTGTGGTGGCTGCCTGGCTCAAACTGAACTCTGGCTCCACTGGAATGCCTTCCTTCAACCAGCTCTTCCTAGGAAACATCCACTCACTTGGAATTCTGTGGCTCCCAAGGTCCAGCTCTTCAAGACCACAATCCTTTGCTTCAAGTGGCTTCAAAGTCCCACTCTTCAAATCAGGTCTATAAATGACAAGTCCATTCCTGAAGGCTCCTCTAATCACCCATGAGGTATCCAAGTTTCTTTTGACTGCAGCCTCCTGGGCTTGAAGGGTGGCTTCAATCACTGTCCTGTAGCTGATCTTGAAAGAGTCCTCCTTGCCTTCAAGTCTGTGAGAACTCCTCTTCTCTGCAAGAGCCTTCCTGAAATCAGCCTTGAAGGCTTTGGCAAAATCTGTGTCAGTCAACTGCAATCTTTGTGTTGTTTTTCCTAAAAGAATTGCAGAAGCTTGGTTTCCAATGGATTGGGTTTCTCTAATCTCATCTGTAAAGATGGCTGCAAAGGAGTCTCTGACCCAAACTGAAAGTGGCTCTTGTTCAATTTGTTCTTCAATGACCCACTTCAAGAGAACACTGTCAAGGTTGCAGCTGGGCTGACTCATAATGTCAAGTTTGCCTTCAAAGAGTTCAGGAGCTTCATTCCTCAAAGCAACAGCCCACTTCAAAGCTCTGGAAAGCTCCCCTTTCTCATGAACAATCCTTTGCCCTGCAACCTCAAACTCCTCTCTTTTAAGCCACCTGCCTTTGCTGTCAAGATTTGACAGCCTGGCATGAACCCCAGGAAACACAAGCAAACCTGCTGAAACCTCACCTGTAACTCCATCACTCCCAACAGGCAAGCCTACAATCCTTTGGCGTGATTCATAAGTGATTCTGAACTTGGAGTTCTTTGCAAGTCCCTTGGCTGTCAAGCTGCCTGCAATCCTCCTTACACCTGCATCTTTGGTTTTGCCTTCTAAGGTCACCTCTTGGCTTGAATCCTTTTCTGGATTGAAGAAATCAACAGCTTCTTTCAAATCTTTCCTGAAAAGCTGAAACTGTTTCCTGTCTTGAGTTGTGATGCCTGAAAGCTCTTCACTAGAAACCACCATTTTTGAACTCTCAGCCTTGGCCCAAAGTGGGACCTGGTCTGAAAAGCCAATGGTTAGAAGTTCCCTGACTCCAGGCTTCAAGACAGACTTGGGATCTGCAAAGACATTGGACTTCAAGACATCTTCCTCAGGAGCAGCACCTGCAAGCCGCAGCTGTCTGTCTATGGCTTGCCAAGAGAGTTGGCAACGCGTTTTCTCTTCAAAAGCACTCAAAGGGCTTGTCAACTCCTTCTTGACTTCCTTTGAACCACAGTACTCCAAAAGCCTAGTGGTGAAAGACTGTCTGTACTTCTTGCTTCCTAGAAGTTTGTCCCTTCTGGCAAAGTACTGCTTTGCTTCAAGTTCCCAGGTCTTCTTCTGGATCTCACTCTGGGAAAGCTCTGCCTTCTTCAAGGATTCTTGGGCTGAAGACACCAACTGCGCTAGAAATTCATCTAGAAGATCACCCTTTGCAAGTACAACTCCATTGGACCTCTCCTTCAAAACCATGTCCTTGACCTTTGTAATCTCCTTCTCAAATTCCAACTTTCTGCCTGCGCCCTTTGCCCTGACAAATCTTGAGCCTACAACCCTGCCTCTCTTCATCTTCAACTGCCCCTTCTGTTTCTCAAACACCTTTTTCTTGGACATGATGTCCTTCAAGGTCCTGGTGTCTAAGCCATACCTGGTCCTGCCTTTCTTGAAAAGTTCCTTGCTGCTGGAAGATCCTTGTTGCATTGCCTCCAAATCCTCTGCTATCTTGACCTTCTCTACAACAGAAAGCTCCTTTCTCCTTGAAGGCTGCCCTGCTCTCTTCCTGTTGCTCTTCAATCCTGCATTGCTTTTTTCTGCAACCATGGGTCTGCCTCCAAGTTTTCCCCTTTCCTCAGGACTCAAAACAATTCTTTGCTCTTCCTCCAACTCCTCCATTACGTTCAATCTCTTTGTGTACTGGTCCTTCAACTCAGCTAATTCAACCTCTCTCAAAGACCTTTTTCTTTCTTTCCCTAAAACCTTCTTCTCTAAAACAGGTCTTGCTTCTGCCTGCTCCTTTGGGCTACCAAAAAATTTCTCCAACCCATACTGAGACAAAGGTGAGCTGGAAGTGGGTGAAGGCTGGCTCTCTACAAGATCCTCTCTGCTGGAAGTTGGGCTCTTAAAGGCTCCTGTGGGTCTGTTTGGTGTCTTGAACTGGTCTGAAAGCTGTCTTTTTACTAATGGCTGTTCCTGTGAAGTAGCCTTTGCTTCCTTCAAAATCTCCTCAGCCTTCAACTGTGCTTGCCTCAAAATTTCCTCTGCCTTCTTCTTTGCTTCTACAACCTCTGGTGCCTCTTCCTTTTCTTCAAAGGCATCCATTTGCTAAGAAGTTGTGTCTACTGAAATGATTGTGTTTCTTTTTAATATGATATCAACATGTACCAATGCCTGTGGTTGCCTGACATTATTTTGGGGGGGGGGCCCTAAATTAATGTCTAGAGATTTGGGGGTTC